GAGGATATGAGTTTAATTTGTTTAATTATTTATTTATGTATTAATAGCCTAATATAATGACTAATCATAGTTATGAGTTCTTCTCAGATAGAAGGCTGCTAAGTCTGCTGGAAAAGAGTGTTAGAAACGCTGTCGTACAGCGTTAACAGCATGTTACTCTGCTCTTATATCAGGTAGCCCTCTCAGCAGACGTAACACACACACACAGCTCATGTCTGCCTGTGTTTCTGTGAAAACTACAGCTATGGAGATGTTTCTTTGTGTGTAAATATTGTGAAAATGTTCTTTTGTTATGCTGTTGGAAGAGCTGCTATATTTAGCTGTGGTTGCTAAATGGAATTATAGATGCTTTTTCAAATGATTTTAGTGCATCTAAATACAAGGACTAAACTGTGAATTTCTATTTTTGAATAAAAAAGCAATGAAATATTGGGCCCTGTTTGTTTCATGTTGACTTTTGAAGGTTTGAACTGACCATTTAAAATACAATTTAGTGAACTTTCTGTTTAATTTAGAGGGGAGATATAAGTTATTTGTTTAATTCCAGGTGCGTGTGTCTTGGCACACAGGCTGAGCACTGGAATGAGAGTAAGTTGATGACTCTTGTTTTACATAATGCTGGTTATGAGCTCCCGTAAAATTGTTTGCAGAAGCCAATGTGAGTCAGCATTTCTCTACATTAAACGAGTTTAGCCAGGGAGGAGATGATGGCTGTTCTTAAATCAAACAACTGCTCCAGTGTGGAAGAACAAGAACAAAAGACGGGTGAACAATAAAAACATTGTGGTAAGACTTGGTCACTAATAAGCTAAAACCAGCCAAAATCAGTGTAAGTTTGTTAACAAAAGTGACTTTTTGTCTTGCCTTATATTTCATAGGAAGTGGCTTGCAACTCTATTAACCTATTTTTTTCTTGATCATTAAGCACAGTTTTACCACAACAATGGATTATTTCCTTAAATAGATTACTTTCATATTCTCTTTTTTTCTTGTTGAGATCTTTGCAAAAGTTTATAGCAAAATCCCAGATCTTTAATTTAATAAATTCCCATTTATTAACATTACTTTGTATTAAATCATCATTTTCGATATCTCTTATCAAGCCTCTGATCTTGATGCAATATTCTTCATTTTGTAATAGACTTGCGTTAATTTTCCAATATCCTTTATTTGTGGTTTTCCTCATAGAGGGTTCTAAACTCAGGTCTATAAAGCAATGATTAGATAACGGTGCTATGTAGTCAATTTGAGGCCACAGCTTTCTTCTTTCCTCCCAATCCTCCAGTGGTAACACTTCAGCAAAACAAATGCCTTTATCCTTGCAGACTGGAGAGTCCTTGGTTCGTCTCCAAATTTCTTCCTTCATTTGTCTTTTGGCAAACAGAATGATGACATATCCATCTTTTTCCCAACTCTGTGCACAATGTCAACTGCTTCATCCATTTTTGACTCCATATCTGGGACAATCTTACCAAGGATTTGAGTGACCTGCGCTCTGATGTCTTCGTCCTTCTTTTCTTCCAAACCTTTGAGACGGAGACACCATCTCATTCTGTATCTTTCTTGTTCTCTAACTCTCTCTCTCTGAGTTCGCTGTTCTCTTTGCACAAATTGTCATTTTGTTTCTCCAGGAGTTTGACTTTTGTCTTGCATTCTTTCACCTCTTCGGCATTAAACTGAACTGCCTTTGATAGGCTAGTGAACATGACACTGCTTTGTTTTGTCTGCTCACGTAACTCCGTTAGCTGCTCATCCACTCTCTTCTCAAGGCTTAAAATATTCCAATATTGTCTTATTAAAGACACCATCACTCTCACCATTCCTTGTCGATTTGTACTTCTTTTCCACAGGCTTCTTATTTAACGGTGTCGAATCGTCTCCGTGGTCCCTCTTATTCAGCAGCATAACATCCATTGCGTAGTCATGTTCCACTTCTCGACCCCTTTCTTTTCTTTCAACGTTTGGCAAAGTTTTCTGTCCTTTGGGGTCCAAGTTTAATTTGGTTTGATAAACTTTTGTGTAGTCATTTTCGCACTGAAGAGTGGATAATCATAAATTTGAACTAAACATGGAGACAAGTTCTGACGAGCTCCAAAAAACGTGACTGCTCAACTCGCCATGTTGCTCCGCCCTCCCCCTCTGTCGAGATTCCAAGCAAGCTGAGGCGATACTAAAATGTGTGGTCAGAGAGAATCGTCACTATTCACTGCATCATCATTGTGTGCCTGACAGAGGCCAGCAAGAGAAAGTTCTATATGTAAAAATTTTCACACGTTATTTCATCACTAAATCCACTTCTGAGAAGTTTTGATGTGAGAAATCAACTGTGTAGATTTAGAATATTGACAGTTATACGAAAAGTGATGGCGGAAAAATATGTGCTTGAAAGTTTTCGGAGTTGAGGATCTCCGCAAGTGAAGCCTGCGCCAACCCGAGGGAGAAGGTCGCGAGGCCGGCCAGCCATCACAGAGCCCTCTGGTCCCACCGTCACACAGACCGCTGCAGCAACAACGGCAGAGTAAAACACAGCTGTAAGATTTTCATACCTTTCAAACCTGTAACACCCCGGCGCTGAATGTGGGAATCTGTTTGTCGTAGTTCAAAATGAGTGAGAGAAGTAGTTGTAGTAAAAGCAAACAAAACAGAGAAGATGAGAGGGAGGCGTCTTTATTGAGACATGTGCCATCTATTCAAAAGGAGCCAGAAAGAGAATCAGTGTGAAGAAGTTGTGGAAGATGACCGAAGTTGACGAGCAAGCTAACCAGGGACCGGAGATGGCTATAGCCTACACCGTTGGGCCTTGTTCGGGGTCCTGGAGGATTTAGTGATGAAATAAATAATGATTAAAAAAAAATCCAATTTCTACTTGGACTAATATCAAGAAGTTGAATTATTTGAATATGCTGAGCTAAATTAGTTAAAAGAGCAGTGATCGCGATCGTGTCACTTGGAGCAGGACTGTGAACCTAAACTAGTGCAACAGCTGGGAGAGAAGCGGGAGGAGCTCAAGCGGGTCTGCTAGCGTGTCGGTCGTGTTGCTGTGCATTACCACCACCACTCCACTAGATGGCGCTGTCGCAAAAGCACTACGGTCGCAGGATTGCGGGGGTCCTGAAACTGCAGCCTCCGGTACTGCATACATAATGAGCTACATTGAGGGGTACTATCTGCAATGGAAAACGGAGGACAGCCAAGTCGGGGCGAGGCGAGGCGAGTTGAGCTGGTACTGGTAATGGTAAAATGGCATTATATAGGCTACACTGAACAAAATTATGAACATTTTCATATTTCTCTCAAATATTGTTCACAAATCTGTGTTATTAAGCACTTCTGCTTTGCTGAGATAATCCATCCACCTCACAGGTGTGGCATATCAAGATGCTGATCAGACAGCAAGGGTATTGCACAGGTGTGCCTTAGGCTGGCCACAATAAAAGGAAATGTTCAGTGATATATATTTTTTTATGTACCAAGCAAGAATTATCCTTCAAGTAGTTATAGGATTAAAAAAATCCAATTTCTAATATCAAGAAGTTGAATTATTTGAATATGCTGAGCTAAATTAGTTAAAAGAGCAGGTAATAAGAAAATAACAGCACAAGCTCAATCAGCATGTTTTTCTGGGATGAATCTGATACATTCCCAAATATTTTTGCAGGCAAATATGTTATTACAGGACTGGATCCAAGTCATGTCCATCTTTCTATCAGCCTGCTGCGCTGTCCAGAATGTCCTCTCTACACTGAGATTGAGCCAATACCACAGGATTACAAAGCGATGTGCTGTTCTGTTTATCACCAGCAGATGACACTAGTGCTTTACAGAATAGACTCATTAAGGTCAACGTCACGTTTAATAATATTATTAAACGTTTATAAGATTAGTCTCTTAACAAGACAAGATTTTAACATGAGTATTATTATTGGACAAGTTAAAATTAGTGAATGAGTACTGCACTATGCAAAAATGCCCGACCAAATGCATCACATAATATTAGTGCCTTTATCAAGCTGTCTGTACATTGAGATACAGTATTTCAGTAAAAACACAAAGACAATTTAAGATTTCGGAGCATGAGTTGAAAATACGTTTCAGTCTGCAGGATGAATCATTGCTTTGCACAATACCTGCATTATTCCTACAGGACCCCTTCACAACTGAAACATATTCCCGAAAGACTTTTTTGTATCCAGTAACAGATCCGAGATTAATCATCGACAATCCTCTGATAATCCCCATGATGTCTTCAGTTGAAAGACTTGAAATTTAATATACTGGTCTTTTATGTTTCATAGGCCCTTTAGTGTCGCAGGACTACAGGAGGAACCTAATTCATAGGTGTGTCTCATACACTGAAGCGATCATAGCATTTTGCTGTAATTACGTCTAAATGCCATGAGGAGGCAGTGTTGGTCCATAATGTTGCATCACACAAGCTTTTACCGACCACAGTGCAAAGCAATGAAGTGTTACAGGCTATATGCACTATGCTCCATAAATAGAATAAAATCGAACAGAATAGAAAAATAGAAAATTGGAATTACTATTTTAATTCTACAAAGTTCCAAATAAAACTTATAAATAACTTATAAATAATAATACTGCTACTACTTCTACTGCTACGACCACTACAACTAATAATAATAATAATAATAATAATAATAATAATAATAATAACAATAATAATAATAATAATAATAATAATAATAATAATAATAATAATAACTAAACGAATAAAGGTAGAAAATTAGGAATGGAAACTCACATTTACTCCTATAGCCCTCCTCAAGATCCCCTGGAAGAAAGTGCACCCATTTTGTGCATAATTTCTCTTACTAATAAGTTATATAAGTTAATTTCAGTTAATGCCCCCCTCCTGTCCCTACACTGCTCCAAATGTGTCCAGCACGGTTCTACTCACTGATTGGTTCGCTCTCTGATTGGCCTACCCTCTGATTGGCTCAAAGTTCCGTACAGAGCTAGACTGTCGACGCAGTTTGTTTTCTCGCCTGCGGCTGAAATTTGCACGGTGAACCGCTGCTGGAGGCAATGTGGATATAGTGTTGAGGTTTTCATTTTAATATATACATGTGCATAGTCACGCAAACAGGCGGAAAACGTAGAGAAAGTGTTTCCTTTTCTCTTTTTCTTCCTTTTCCCGGCTGTTAGTGGTCTCCCGCGAGCGTTTTACATGCGGACTGTCATTCAGAAATACTACAGCCTGCATTTGGAGCGCTCACGTGTTTGACCTTAGTCTGTATATATTAGATTTTTCCTACATTTATACTCATATTTTTCCGTTCTCTTAGTTATATGTTACTTTTGTATACTTTGTCAAAGTCGACTTCATTTATTACAACAAGTTGACGTTGCGGTGACAGTACGTGTCTTCACGTTTGTTAATGACTCTTAGTTTGAATCGCGGATTAAGTTATCGAAGCCATAAAATCACTGGAGAGGAGGTGAGGAACTTTTTCCGGCATCGTATACGTGCAGGTCATCAGAGGGTAACAGACTGTGGATATCTCATCACTGCTGGGAGTTTTACAGTAAGTCTTTATTGATAAGCCAAAGCCACGGTTATATTTAGATCATGGATATCAATGTTTGTCTGTCGCACTTTACAATAAGTTTACAGTGGCTGTAAGTTAATGATTTACATTGGCGTGTTATAGATTGATTTTAACTAGTGATAAATATAAATTTATTAGACCTCCAGTCTGGGATCATGTAATCCAAACAATCACAGGTTGCAGGTTTCAACTCCTTTGTAAGATGTTTATTGTAAATTAAGGGAAGGGAGATTGTTCTCCCTGTAAGATAAGTAGCCTATTGTAGGCAAATAGAAACGTGACTAAACCTTTGGTAGGTTGAAAATCTACTCTTGATTGCAACAAATCAATTATCCTGACTGTGAACTGAGAAGCTGAGGCTGACAGATACTGATCATAGATACAGCGTGTGAAGTATTGAAATAAGATCTCATAAGGTTCAGGGAAGAATTTATGTGGCGGGAAGATTAAAACCACTGTAAGGAGAGACATATGGACAGGTGGACAGAATAAATCTGTAAGGAAATTAGTTCGACTTCCAGAAAATCTCTGCTCCTGTGCAATGAACACCTTACTGTTTTCAGTTGTGGAATTTTTTGATCCAAATAATGTTTAGAAGAAAGAATACCCTGAATAATATCGAAGTGAGTGCATGTATTCTTTAACCTGCATGGTAGATTTTGAAAACATCCACACAGGAATTGATGGTGTTCTCTGTCTCACTTTTATTCACAAAAGCAAGATACTTTTTTTTTTTTTTGCTTTCCTTTATTAAGGAATAAATGTATTATTTTCTACCACATTATTTCTGCTTTCATCTTATCAAAAATTCAAAGGAAGTTTTCACATAGATGCTCTTAAGATCAACCAGTTGGTAGTAAATTTGGTTTGAATTCCATTGCACTAGGAGTTATTTTGGCAGCAGTTAATTAAAAAAACACATCAGATGGTGAAATAATGATTGTTGCTAGTGAATTTTTGTAATAAATCACATACTGACAGTGGAGTACATGTTTGTTGATAAATTGATGGTTAATATATGGAAAAAATATGAATTGTAAATTAAAGTCTAAATAAAGAAATATTTCTCACATTTCATTTCCTTTCAGATCAAAGAGGCTCAGCATTCTTCTTCCTGAAAATTAAGCCAAAATGGAGCTTCTCTGGTTCTTTCTGTTGCTGGAGATGGTCCTGATGTCTGCTGCTGCCAGGGGTGAGTAACTTTGATTTCAACAGAGACCATCATCAGAACCCGCAGTAAGATACATCAGTGTCACCTGGCATGGAGTAGATTTACTGTACTGAAATGTCCTATTTTTGCGTTCTTGCTACACTGCTGTTCCAGCCCCTAGAGGATTTGTTTGAAACATGGTGGTACGATTGCTTTGACTGTGGTTTCAGACACTACTGTCTCATTAAAGATGAAAGTGTGATGGGAGGACAGTGGTAGTTGCAGGAACTAACCCTCTCCTCTATCTTTTCCTTCTTTTCTATCACTTTTATCTTATCACTTCAACTTAAGAACCTAAATGATCTTAAGTAAATAAAAACTGAGGCAGATAAAATCATATTTTAGCCACAGAAGTGGCAGTTACTCACTGCAGCTATATTTCTTTCTCTTCTATCGCCTATTCTTTGGAACTATTGTACTTTTTGTCTACTTTGAAAAGCATTGTGCTTTGTAACATTTTTTTTTTATTATGTATTGTTAATTTGCTCAGATTTTGGAATATTTGCAGACACTGCTGGGGTAAACTTTACTTAATGAATGCTTTTGCTCTTTAGATAGTCCGTGAACCTTTGACTTTGTGTGGTTATTCAGTTACTGTCAGGTATTCTTGCACTCACCTGGAAGTAGTGTGGTTTTCTATCTTCTGGATATTTTGCAAGGATGCTACCTTGTTGGCTGTACCTTGTTTCTTTCAGTAGAAGATAAACATAATGAAAACAAATACAACAGAATCTGTACATAGATAAGATCGAGCTATGACCCAGCCTGCAGGCATTATGGGCACACTGTCGTGGAGTTGGCGCCTGTCCTCGAGATCACACCAATGATGAGTTTTCAGTTGGAACAAAACTGCTTTCAGTGAGGCGAGGCCGGGCCAGCATGCAGACACGGGGCCGAAAGTAAACACAGGGCCATAGACCACAAAGAGATGAGATGAGATTAGCCTATTAGGGGTGTTTGCTGTGCAGTGCCGCAGAATTTTCTCCCCCTCACTGCCTGCAGTCTGTCAATGAAACCAGGATAGGCAGTAGTGAGAGACAGAAGGCGGGGGTAAGAATGGAGGCAAGAGAAGAGGAGAGAGATGGAAGGAAAGAAAAGAAATCAGGTGAAGGAGAAAAGACGGGGCCTCGGGACATAGGAAAACTGAAGTAATAATGGATGATAAAAGAGAAAGAACAGAAGAATGGAAAAGAGAAAATGAACTAGGGAAGGAAAGAGATTATAGGAGGGGGTGTGAGGGAGAGGGCAGGAGAAGACAGAGGGGACCAAATACCATTATGAACCTATTAGAAACTGAAATTCTCCCTTTCCTTGTGACAGGCTAGACTCAAGTTGCCCGACAGATCCTCTCTCTTGGTTAAAGTACAGTATTAACACTGGAGACATGTAATTGAAGCTGCGGTGAAATGAGGTTATAGGAAAAAATCTGACGTTTTTTTCTACATATGCCTCATGCAAGTGATATAGAGCAGAAAGTGGAAGGTTTCATTTTTAGCAGAGTTCAGATAGACAGCGTTTGTTTATATGCAAACCAATTTTAAAGGAGAAGTTATTATTGCTGTTTTTGGTAATTTATTTTGTTATTGTGTAACACTCACTGAAGCTATGTCAGCTGAAAGACATCACGCCAGTAGGATGCTGGGGTTTAGTGGCTCTGTGGTCTGAGGTTCATACCATGTAATTGTGAATTTGTGGTTTTGAACTTGGGTAATGCCGCATGTCATCTATTCTCTCATCTTTGAAGTTCCCTGTTTACAACATATAGTATAATGTTTAACAAAACTCAAGAACTATCTGAAACATGGATAAAAAGAATGCAGGAAATTACAGATTTTCAACAGATGTTTTTAAAACCAGGAATTTGCTATCTTGCCAATATTTAAAGCACACTCTTTCTGCTAAATGTACCTGCAGCTTTACCCAATCCCTGGATTATTTTTGCACCAACAAGAGCCAAGGTCAAATTAAATTATTTTTCGACTTCTGCGGTTCAGCATGCTTGCAGTTATGTTGTTGCCAGTGCACCTTGATTTCCCCTGACACTGTCTTCTCCGACAGAGCTTCCACCCAGGATGTATGTTGCCCACTGCAACTTCCACCAGTTACTTGTGGCCTTGCACTTTTTAAATGTTGCCACTGTTGCACACAAAATGAAAGAAATTGCATTGCAAGTAATTTTGAAAAGCTGCTGCTAGTACAGTCACTTTTGGCCACAATAGTGACATGAAGATGCGTGAGATCCTAATGAGACTGATTGACCATAAGCTGTTGTGAGAGTTGCCAAGTACAACCACAACAATCTACTCTTAGGAGTTAAGGGCTTTGCTCAGTGGCACCTGGAGAATAGGAGTTGAGGACCAAAACAGAAACGTTCAACATCAAGTCTGCAGTAGTACTGCACTATAGCTGGAAAAAATCATATAAATATCAGAATGATTTAAAAGAGCATATCTTAAACTCTTAACACTGAAGAGCCATAACAATGTTAAGAGCCAAGGTCAAATTAAATTAATTTTCGACTTCTGCGGTTCAGGATGCTTGCAGTTATGTTGTTGCCAGTGCACCTTGATTTCCCCTGACATTGTCTTCTCCGACAGAGCTTCCACCCAGGCTGTATGGGAAGGTGAACAAGCTTCACAACTGTCCCAGTCAATCAGAAGGGTTTGGGCCAAGTAGGTCTGTGTTGAAAGAAGATACTTAAGCTACTTAAATAAATCAAAACCTTCCAAAGGGTCACACTGCTGTTTCAACCCCAAGAGGAGTTCTTTGAAACATGGTGATACAATTGCTTTGATTGTGGTTTCAGAAACACCTGTCTCATTAAAGCTGAAACTATTATGAGAGAGGACAGTAGGAGCTGCAGGAGGAGTGAACCCTCTCCACAATTTTTTTTTAATCACATTTATCTTTTCTATCGCTTAAGTTTAAGAAGACAAATAGAGAAAATTTAAGGCAGATAATATCATATTTTACTGTATCACTTTAGACCATTTGCAAAAAAGTTGCTAAATAAACAATTGATTCAGAATTGTTTGGCATATGAAATGGGTGATGAAAAGACAAACTCATAATTTCAACTTCTAGTTGTTAAGTAAAAAAAATTCTATGAAATGGTTGACAGATTTTTTAGAGATGTGGAAATGTTTCCTTTGACAGTCCGCCCTTGTTGCATTCTCCTCTGTTAGAAATGATGCAGAGAAAAATTTTCTATTAGTGACTTGGTGACTACTGAGCTGTCCCAGAGAAATATGCATAGCAGAGGTGGGTTACTCAGGGCAACTGTATAAACAATGAACAATAAAAAGCAAAATATCATAGGACACACCATGCCATTTAAAATTGTAAATGTGAACTCTTTTGTTGCCTCATGTGTCTGGGCAGTCCCCTTTGCACACAAGGTTCAGTTGCAGTAAATGTAAAGGCGCTGTTGTATAAATCCATGGAGTTATGTCTAACAGCACATTTATAACTGCAAAGCACAGAATGGCCTATTGTAGTAAAGATATAGTTGAATGAAGCCCTTGTATTGGAAAAAAAATAGTACAAAACAATTCCTGGTATGTAATGGTAATGGTAACTGTTCCCTCAGTGTCCCCGGAGAAGCTGTTTTCCACTCTGAGTACTGATTGGCAAATGGAGGCAGTAACATTCATATAACTAAGGGCTTTGCTGGAATTCTACAAAAGACAGAGATGAAGACAATGGTTTGGAGATGGAGGGATGTAACAGAGTAGAAAGAGTGGAAGAGGGAGCGAGATATAGATGGGAGAGGAAATTATAGGGAAAGGTAGCCAACGAGAAAGAACAGGAGGCAGACTGAGAAAGAACGACAGACAGAGATGGAAAGAGATCAAGATGCAGCATTTACATCCTTACTGCAGCAGATGTAGTCACATAAACTTCACTCCAGAGGCTTACACAACCATGCTGTTTTAACCAGTGTCTGGACGTCTGAGTTGTGTGTGTGTGTGTGTGTGTGTGTGTAACTGAGCATGAGACTGAGCAGCTGAGAGATCAGCCTTCTGTTAGCTGAGCAACATTGAGCTTGAATACAGGGGTCAATGACTAGTAGTAAGCCAATGCATTCTCGGCTGCCTGCAGCTCTACACACAGTTAGGTTCAAGCATGCACGACAGGAAGGACAGGTCCATCTTAAAATGCTTTTTATACTGTTAAAAGTTAGTTTGACATTTTGGGGAGGGCTTTTCCTATCAAGAGTTACAGATCTAAAATGAAGCTTGCATTAAAGAAAGCAAAGTAGCATATTTCCCAAAATGTCTTAATTATTCATTTAAAAGCAGCAGGACATTTAATTCCTGAGTCCATTATGTTGTGTAGTACTATTTGTCCTACTGGCCAAATGTAGATGAAGTAATGCTACATTAATATTTCCTCTGCAGCTAGCAAGTAACAGCATCCCCCAAGAACATTCTTCTCTAGCATTTAACAATCTTACAGAGAATACCAATTTAGAAGAGCAGATGTTGTATTAGTCTTCAGTGGAAAAACTTGTAAACTGTTAGCTCTGTTGCTCTCTTGAGGGCTGATGATGAGGCAGGTGGCAGGTGAGTATACCAAAAAACGTTAGACACTTGGAATGCACTGACATAGAGTTTGTTTATTGGTTCATGCCTGTGTTTCTGCATGCTCCGCACACACACATACATTAATTGGGCATGTGATGTGAAATGCCACGTGTGTGTCAGATGGTTATCAGCATTTCAGATGGTATTTATGTAAGCCAGCTGTTAAACACTTCACGGTCAAAAAACCGAAGCAGAGCTGAGGATATTAATAATGTGATTATTGAAGTTACTCCCGCAGAGATTAAAATGTTTGGTGTGCTTTTACCTGTGATGTTGTGTGTGAAAATGACCTACAGTGTATATCATCACATCCCACTCTTGTCTTGTCCCACTCTTCTACCCCAATCCTTTAAAGAAAATTTAGAAAAGACAGGATATACCAAGACATGAGATGAT